AAGTACACCAAGTGGATCAAAATAAACAACAAAAGGAAAACATTGATTCAAATACTAGTCTTTTACTACCAGCAACAGCGTACAAAAGTTCTGCATACACTGCTCTGAGCACTGCTAAACAATCACCCACCATTCCTGCTTCAATAAATAAATATAACAAGGCAAACAAATTAATTGCTACGCCTGAGCAACATGTTATATCACATGAGAAGAGAATTAAGCATACTAAGTTGCCAAGATTGATTGCGTCCAACAATAGGACTCAAGATAGTTTTGCAGATTTATCTGTTAGTTCTGCAGAAGTATCAGTGTGTGTTAAGAAGACTCCAGTGCGTACTGCAACTGTCTTGGGGAAGAAATTGTAGAAGTAGATGGTTAAATAAGTTAGTTAAGAAATATATATGATATACTAGTTTTATTTCTTGTCTTTATTAAAATAATAAAATATATATACCATAACCTTTCAAGTTTAGTATCTTTTGAAATTCGAAAACATTCATATTAAGGACCACTCTAATGTATTTATATGTATTAAGTTGGTTCCTAATATGGATTTTTTGAATTTCTTATATATATATATATATATATATATATATATAATGTATATATATATATATATGTATATATATATGTATATATATATATATATATATATATATGTCCATATTAGAGTGGTCCTTAATATGGATATTTTAAAATCATGAAATGTTTTTGTGTCAATTCTTTAATTCCAAATTCAATAAATTTTGAGAACAGGCACAAGAACATTATGGAAAGTTGTAATTTTACTATGTATATATAAAATATATAGATCTTATATATAATTTTTTGAATAATAAACAATTAGATTTTTATAGAAGCATTTTATAATCCTTTTTTTTAACGAGCTTTTCAGAGTGAACGAGTTATAGCAGAAAGCTGTAATTCTAGTATGTTATTTTATGAAGTATAAAAATTGACTAAATATTTAAAAATAATGCATTACATACAATTTTTCTAATATTTAATGATTAGATGAAATGTGCTTCTCTGTGTAAGTTTTATCGAAATTACTTATTGTTTGAAAATTTTAATGAAACTTTGCTGTACTGAACTAAAATATTATAGGCCTATGATAAGTGGTTTAATTATAAACATTTATTAGGGCAGTATTGCCAATATATTTATGTGGGTGTTTGTGGTTTCTAATATGGATATTTTGGAAGTTTTTGCTCCCAAGGGCTCAAATGCTTCCAAAATGATAAAAAAAATTATCTGAAAGTTTTAACTCTTAATATTAACTTTAAGATAGTCTGCACTTCAGACAAAGTTTCTTATAGAAATAGCATTGGATAAAACTATTTGCTTTTTAGAATTTTATAAGTTAGCTTAGTTGTATTTGCTTATTTTGATCATAAATAAAAATTTACAACAAAAACGTAATATATTAATATATTAAATATTAAATCAAATAACATTTTAAGAAATAAGTATTCACTTAAGAAGAATCAAGAAACTTTGGTTGGAGTGCGAACTATCTTTAAGTTAATATTAAGACCTAAAACTTTCAGAGAATTGTTTTTTGTCAATTTGGAAGCATTTGAGCCCCAGGGAGCAAGGAAATTCGTAAATATCTACATTCAATACATATGCTATACACTTGTGGGAACCTTCTTTTTAGTTTCTGTCTGAATTTAGTTTGCTAGTAGAGTCCATTTGTAACGTGCATGCTTTAAGTAGAATATCCAAGTACTTACTTGGCTATTATAAAATAACAATAAACACTATAAAATATTATTTACATATATCTCAACTTGTCTTTAGGCAAAATGCCACTTGCACCTAGAGTTTTGTTCATAACAATAATCTCAATGAAATATATTTGTACTAAAAAATTGAAGTAACGCTTACTATGCTTTGCCAAACCTTAGTAAAAATGTATGAGAAAGGTTTGTGTTAGGTTCGGTCGACATGGCAAGCACTCGTATTTTTTTTAAATTATATATATATATATATATATATATATATATATATACATACGAGTATATATATATATATAAACAATTACCTCTCATTACGATCATCATGTTGCCCAAAAGTGGGTCCGTGGTCTCGTCGATGAAAAAATTATGGTCCACAAAATGATCAAAATCTTTCACGCCCATTTGCCTGACCAGCTCTGGATCTCGTATCAGCAATACAGGTTTTAAAACTTCGTAGAAACCTGAAAATCTAAAAAAATAGGTGTAAGTGGTATTTTGCCTTAGAGTAAGTTGCATGAACTTCTCGGTAAGTGTAAGTAATAAATCCATATATCAATTTATGAGGTGTTTATAGGTATACCAAATTGCTGTAGAAACTTATACTGCGAGAAACAATTGCAGATTATTCAAAATGGACAAATTTTTTAAACGTGTAGGCTATTTTCGATATTTTTGAAAAATCAACACAATTCTAAAAGTGCGGCCGATTAATACAAACTTTAATTTAATTTTTGTAATTAAAGCACTTTTCGTAGGCCTCTAATATTTTAGTACGTCTAATGAGACCAGCAATTTTATTGTCAAACAACGGTTTATCAAATTAACCATTAACCAATTACGTAGAAACGTCTTCACCGATCTTTGCCAAAAAGTAATCAGCACGATTTCCAACCAATATCTTTCGATTATTTTTTGAACTTTCAGTTTTGGTTCAGATTTTTTTTTGTTAAAACGTAGACTATTGTTCACATTTGTACTTTTCTGCTAGTTGTAAAAAACGGCTTGTCTTGTCTTGAAAAACGAACCATGCCGAGTGCTTATCGAGTTACATCAAATGGGTTTAAAATGTTTTAAATCGGTGCAGCCATTTTTTGAAGAAAAAAAACGGTAACGAGGTCAAAAATCAACTCACATGTGTACACATACATAGTTTTTCCAAATTTAGTATCAAAGGATTCAGAATGACTAGCAAGACGGATTTATATTACAAAAACATGGACAAGGAAATTTTGCACTTTACTGCTAATTCTATAAAAACTGCTTGGATGATCGTCTTGAAAATCTGACCAATGTCAGATGCTTATTGAGTTGCATCAAATGATTTTAAAATTTTTGAAATTGGTGCAGCTATTTTTTGAGAAAACGGCGACGAGGTCAAAAATCGACTCACATGTACACAAACATAGTTTTTCCATATTTAGTATCAAACTATTAGGAACTACTTCAAAGGCCAAGTTGGATTTTTACGTGACAACATAAACTTCTCACTATTTCCAATTTCAGGTAATATAACTTTTACCCAACCTTCATAATGTCTTTTATCTCACCTGCTATCAGGAAAATTCTCATAAGCTCTTCCGTAGGTATAAATCTGATTTTCCAACTGGAAAAAGTTTCTCCAGGTGCTTCCAAGGATCGGGACAGGTTTCAGGTACGGAACTATCGTCTTGGAGAATCTTCTTTGCGATTTTGTGACTCGCCAATAGGCCAGGATCAATAGAATTCCGCCTAGGATTATGTAATCGGATTGGTTTATGGATAGATCCATGATCTGGAATGCAAAACTAGGTGTTAGTGGCATTTTGTCTTGAGGTAAGTTGCATGAACTTTATAATAAGATTAATATATAAATTTTTGGGTGTTTTATAAGTATACCGAGTTACTGTAGAACATTTGAAAATATTGCAAATTCTTCATTTTTTAACAAATTTGTCAAACATACAAACATTTGACAAATAGTTTAAATTCTATGAGTGCTTGCCATGTCGGCCGAACCTAACACAACGCTTTTTCATACAGTTTTGCTTAGGCTTGGATATGCATGGCAAGCGTTACTTCAATATTTTTTGGTAAAAATGTTTTTAATAAGTTTTATTGTTGTGTTAGTGAATAAAATTTTAGGTGCAAGTGGCATTTTGTCTTAAATCAAGTAGCATGGACTTTACTATCTATGTAAATAATCGGCATAACCAATAAGATATGATGACGATAAAATTCAATTTAAATAGTCAATATTAACTTTCCGTAAAAAGTATTCAATTCCTATTGATAGGGAGATGTGCTGATTAGTTTTTGGCAAAGGCAGGTCTAGCCGTTTCGGAAATATGGTGCAAAGATTGCAGAAAATTAAAATCGAGTTTTTGAGAGAACGGAGCATCCGATTTAATTGATCCAAAAAAACATTCAATTCGTATTGATGGGGAGAAGTGGTTACTTCAATAGTTTTTGGTAAAAATGTATTTAATAAATTTTATTGTTGTCAGTGAATAAAATTAGGTGCAAGTGGTATTTTGTCTTAAGTCAAGCATAGTCAATAAGATATGATGACGATAAAATTTAATTTAAACTGTCAATATTAACTTCCCGTAAAACATATACGATTTCTATTGATAGGGATATATGCTAATTAGTTTTTGGCAAAGGCAGGTCCAGCCGTTTCGCAGATACGGAGCAAAAAGTGCCAAAAATAAAAATCGAGTTTTTGAGAGAACGGAGCATCCGATTTGAATGACCCACAAAACATTCAATTCGTAATGATGAGGAGAAGTGGTGATTAGTTTTTGGCGAAGGCAGGTCCATCCGTTTTGGAGATATCTAGCTAAATGTGCAAAAAATGGCAGTTTTTGAGAGAAATAAGCACGTGATTTGGATGATTCAAAAAACTTTCTGCTTGTGTTGACCAAAACGATTGTTTTTGATAAGATATTTTTTTTCAAAAAATTTTCTTTTAAATTTCCAAAAAAATATTTTTCGCACCATGGGCCTCCCTTCCTCAGTCTGTTTATAACAATCTATTAATCATAAAGAAACGGCTCTGCCGATCGTCGCACAAATTATTACACACTTACTATTACTGCGCAAATACACTTTTTCCAATTTCGGTGTCAAACGACTTGAAAACACAAAATTAGCAAATCGGATTTGCTGGCAAAAACATAAACGTCTTCGTCGGCAAGTTAATAAATTAAATATATAAATAAAAATTATTTTACTCACAATTATTTATTTCAACCAATAATACGATTTATAGTTAATAAAACTAAATTATTACTTAATCATCTTTCACTACTTTAAAATTTATACTATTGAATATTGCGTGAATTTATTATGACATTGCGTTATTTAAAATTATCTTTAAGATATATATATATATATATATATATATATATTATCGATAAGATAACAGCAGATAAGACATCTAATTATCAATAAAAATTAAATCGAAGGTCACAGTATAAAAGGTGCAAATTCATAAGAAAGGTATGTTTAGAATGTGTTGATTAAATTTTTTATAGATATCTGCGAAAGCTGTAAGTACTGTCACAGTCTAAACGATACTTGGAATTAACCTTATCGACTCGGATGCCGCCGCTCCGGTGGCAAAATTCATATAGATCTCGCAATTCGCGAGTGTGAAGGGTTAATTTATATGAATTTCAAGCTTGGACTGTGATTATTTTGGGTAGTTTTCATTGTTATCAATATTTTTTTTAAATTGTGCCAAATAGGTCAAAGTTGATGCCATATTTTAACATTAAATACAGTTTTTGATAATACTGTGGGGATCAAGCAGGCTAGTCATGAGGGAAGAAAACAATTAGACTTGTCATTTTGATATCGTAGTATTTTTATAATCAATAAATTTTATATATTTTTATACAAGTGGAGGTTATACTTTCATATACATTACTACTCCCACAATACATTTTTATTGTTTGTTATTATATAAAGTTAGATAAATATTTATATACTTTATCTATCAACATTTCCATCAATTTTGATTTTCATTTTAAAAATTTTAAATTCATAGTTTAATAGATACTCTTAATTCTGTAAAAGTTGGGACAATTGGATTATTATTTTTGTCCTAGAAATGTTATTTACGGTTACCTTTCCGAAGGTTATGAACAACAATGATAAAAATTTAGTACAATGATCGAAAAATGATTACAGTTTCTCCAAAGCTCTACATTGTACATAAATGATTATAATTTTCAATCTGTAGGGAATAACTTTCTTTTTTTGTATTTTTTATTTTTTTGACGTTGAGTTCTGAGACACTCTGTATACAAAAACAAATATATAAATTAAAACATAACTGACAAAATAATAACTGTTAACTGTCAAACATAGAACTCAACGTAATGATGGGGATGAGTAGTGATTAGTTTTTGGCAAAAACAGGTCCAGCCGTTTCGGAGATACGCAGCTAAATGTGCAAATAATGGCAGTTTTTGAGAGAAAAACTATGTATTTGCTATGCGATCAGGCGTTTTACACATAAAACCTAACCTACAAAACGCACAAGTATCATAAGTGCAACTCTCTGAAGTCTCGTTGATGACACATACGTGAAGTTAGGCTTTATGTGTAAAACGCCTGATCGCATAGCAAATACATAGTTTTTCTCTCAAAAACTGCTATTTTTTGCACATTTAGCTGCGCATCTCCGAAACGGCTGGACCTGCTTTTGCCAAAAACTAATCACTACTCATCCCCATCATTACGTTGAGTTCTGAGACTCCCTGTATACAAAAACATATATAAATTGAAATATAACTGTTAACTGACAAAAATCTATGTATTTCCTGTGCGATCAAGCGTTTCACACATAAAACCTAACCCACAAAACGCACAAAACTCGAATAAGAATTTTATCATAAGTGCAACTTTCTATGTTTTGTTGAGAAAACATACGTGAAGTTGGGTTTTATGTGTAAAACGCCTGATCGCATAGCAAATACATAGTTTTTCTCTCAAAAACTGCTATTTTTTGCACATTTAGCTGCGCATCTCCGAAACGGCTGGACCTGCTTTTGCCAAAAACTAATCACTACTCATCCCCATCATTACGTTGAGTTCTGAGACTCCCTGTATACAAAAACATATATAAATTGAAATATAACTGTTAACTGACAAAAATCTATGTATTTCCTGTGCGATCAAGCGTTTCACACATAAAACCTAACCCACAAAACGCACAAAAGTCAAGTAAGAATTTTATCATAAAGTGCAACTTTCTGAAGTCTCGTTGATGGCACATACGCGAAGTTAGGTTTTATGTGTAAAACGCCTGATCGCATAGCAAATACAAAGTTTTTCTCTCAAAAACTGTCATTTTTTGCACATTTAGCTGCGTATCTCCGAAACGGCTGGACCTGCCTTTGCCAAAAACTAATTACTTCTTCTCCCCATCATTACAAATTGAATGCTTTTTGGATTATTCAAACCAGATGTCAAACTCGATTTTTATTTTTTGCACTCTTTGCTCCGTATCTCCAAAACGGCTCGACCTGCCTTTGCCAAAAACTAATCACTACTTTTCTCCCTATCATTAGGAATTGAATGTTTTTTGGATTATTCAAATCAGATGCCAAACTCGATTTCTAATTTCTGTACTCTTTGCTCCGTATCTCCAAAACGGCTGGACCTGCCTTTGCCAAAAACTAATCAGCACATCTCCCTATCGATAGGAATCGAATGTTTTTTTGAACCATTCTAATCGGTTCATCCGTTTGCTCAAAAACGTGGACGAAAAATTGTATCCATACATACATACACACACACACACACACGCTCGTCCATTTTTTCTAAGGTATGCCAAAATGTTCAGAAACCTTCAAAACGTGAAGAAAAAATTCAATTTCGATTTCGATTTTTGAACGATTACAATTATAGATAAATAAGCAATATAATATTACAATACTACGGAAAATTAATAAAATAGCAATTACAATGCTCGTTCTCGTTTATACTTATTTATCTATGGATATGTTGAAATTTTATAGTGTAAATTATTAGATAGATTATGATAGAAGTGATAAAATAATTAAAAAACTTTAATATTTATTTATATATTATTTAAAATATTTTATTTATTTTTCATTAAACATTTTATACAGAAAATCGCATTTAAAATTACCGCGCTGAAGTCGGCAGCCATTACTCATTGACATTCAACCATAGATAAAAGAAGAGTATGCATTCAACTGTCATAATTTATTTATAATATTAATTAGAAGAAACATCAAAACGCATATATATTATTTCAATTTAAAATATAATTTATATTTACAATATTTTTAATCATTTAAAATTTAAAAAAGAATTATTTAAATTTAATGTGTCAATGTGTCAATTACCATGACACCCAACAGTCATCCATTGCACAAGTCGCAAGATGTCAGTTTTAATTCGGCGCCAATTAAATAATAAATGTATATAAAAATAAAATAATAATTAAACAGTGATGAAATGTAATTTGAACGTATTATAAATTATATTTTAGTTTTATGTTGTATTTTTGCGATTTTGTGATTTTATTATATATTTTAATTTAGTTAAATTTAAACAGTGAAGTTTTAGGTTAATAATGACATTTTTAGGTTAACCTCATTGAAAGATTTTATGCATAAAAATGTTTTAATTGAAATTGTTTGTAATATATTTAAAATGAAAAGGAATTCTATAGGTATGGATTTTAGGATTTACAATACAATTTAATAGTTTACTTTGAATCGTCTTAATTTCAATTTTTTTTTATCATACATAAAAGAAGAGTATTACTGTAATTTTTTGTTTGCTGACATGAAAATAATGAATTTAGAGTTTACTTTAAATTGTTTTAAATCTAATGACGTATATAAATATATTACTAAGATTGAATTAATAGTTTTATGTGCCAGAATATATATTCGATGTTTTTTATGTACAACTTTATTACAGTCACATATTACATTTTGCATTGTCTTATTTATTACACTTGACACGAATTGTATTTTTGGGTATATTTCTATTAATTAATATTGATTTTTTTTGTTTTTTATATATTTATTATTTAGGAATTTGTTTAATGGTGTATTTTATTGTTTGTATCTTTCAGCAAATTCACCGAGAGGAGAATGCAGATATGCTGAAAAATGTTATCGGAAGAATCCAGTACATTTTCAAGAATATGGACATAAACATTGTAAGTAATAATAATAATATATTATATATTGTAAATGTTAAATATGAACAATACAACACTCAGATTTTTAACACACTTTATTTAGTAATTACAGACGTTTCGAGACGAAGATGAGGCATACCATGGTTTCGAAACATCTGTAATTACCAAATAAAGTATGTGTTAAAAATCTGAGTGTTGTATGTTCATATTTAACATTATATATATATATATATATATATATATATATATATTATATATATATATATATATATATAATTCGAGACACCCAAATCAATTCAAAACTATGCTATCAGAACATATGATCAACTTAAACCATACTTTTGGCATGTCAAATCCTTCCATCCCATATATTGAAAAGAATTGTGGCCTTACTACTTACATACTTCTTGTGTCAACAAACGGAATTCCTCTCATATTTTACATGGCAGTTACAAAGTCTTTGTTCGGATACCCTTTCTCTGTTTCTCATTCCTCTTTTGTTTTTTACACTCTGCAAATTCTGTAAAAGTCTAAAAGACTGGTAAGCATATGTTTTTGGAAAGTTATAAAATACATGCTTCATTCAGATTTGATGGTGTCTTGTAAAATGGTCAAGGATTATTTTATAGTCATTGCAAAGCGAATTTGTGTCAGTTCTTTTATTTATTGCTGCCTCATTATGCAATGATATTAGGCATCCTTCACTAAATCTTCTTTTAAATATGTTACTTTCAAAATGTAGGATTATGCGATTAAGAAAATCATTGTTATATTTGAGTTTGTTGATGTGTTCTGCGAACATTGTTTTATATTGTTTTTTGTTTTTGGAATTGTTGTTTTGGTAACTGAGTGTTTTATGTAATATATAAGGTACTTTTGTAAGATTATTGTTAATATCTCAACATTTTGTTAGAAGAGATATGGATTTTAGTATTTGCTATTTTAAAAGACATATTTAATATAACATATCGAAATTACATCTGAATAATGTGCACTCTGGGTAATATTTACTTTGCCTTTTCATTTTGTCCTAACACTGAGTATGTTCTAGGAGAAAATAAGGTGCTTTTGTAAGATTATTGTTAATATCTCAACATTTTGTCAGAAGTCATATCTATTTTAGTATTTGTTCTCATAAAAGACATATTTAAGTATACCATATCAAAATTACAACTTTTTAGGATGATATCAATAAAGATATATCAATTTTAGTATTTGTTATCAAAGTAGACATATTCTAACTGCAATATATTAAGTTTGCAATAATGACTAGAAATATTTTTAATAATTGTTTGAACAAATATTTTTTTACAATTAATATCTTTTGTGCCATAGTACTTTTTTTATATGATTATAAATTTATCAAAATTTAACAAGAAAACATATCAGTTTTAGTGTTTGTTTTCATATAAGATATATTTAGTACATGATATATTGAAATTATTAAATTATTATACAAATGGTACGACTTCAAGATCTATATTTATTTATACAAAATACTCAGTATTAGAATAAACCAAAAGGTCAAGTAAATTTTACCCTCAGTGCACACTGTTAATCCTAGAAAGTTGTAATTTGGATATATTATACTTAAATATGTCTATTATGATAACAAATACTAAAATTGATCAGTTTTCTCTCTTTTTTTTTTCTTTTTAATTTCAATACCAGTCACAACTGTTCAGTTGTAATTTTAAACAACTCTCAAAAAATTGGTATAATCATTCACCTTGTTGTTATTCACCATTTCTTTGTAAATTATATATAATAATATAACTTACATATTTATCTATTATTTTAGTGATGGACATATTAAACCAAACTCCCGAAGGCACCGATTTTGAAATTCCTCAGCATCTACTAGCATGCAGAGAAATTTTAACTACACAACTAAAAATATTAGTAGATTTAAATATTATACCAAATAAAAAAGTAAAAACTGATCATGATAATAATCAATCCAATTCTAATAACAATTTTGAAGATTCTTTACCTAATTCTAGTAGCACAAATAGAAATATAAATAATGAAGGTAATAGAAATCTAATTGATGAAGGAAATAAAAATTTAACTAATGGAGGAAATAGAAATGTAATTAATGAAGGTAATAGAAATATATTTTTTACATTTTATTCATTTTACATAAAAGATGTTGAAGTAGTTTTTTTAATGAAGGTGCAAATAGAAACACAATTACTATTAGGACTCCGCAAGACATAAATAATGATGTTGATGCTGGTTCATCAAGTACGATTTCTATAAAGACTCCACAAGAAATTAATGCTGATGCTGGAACATCGAGTAATAATGATTTTAGTTTTTCAACTAGTAGAAATAGTGTTTCACCGAGACCAGAAAAGACTGATTGTGATTTAGAAAAGTTAGATGTTGATAGGAAGAAGCATTTGGTGGTTGAAAAAGATGATAAGAAGAAAAATTTGGTGGTTGAGAAGGATGATTCGAATGTGAGGAGAAGTCCATCGCCAAGAAGTAGGCGTAAGGTTGATCCTAAAGAAATATTTAAGTAAGTACTTTACTCTCATTATTATATTTATCTTCAGCATTTGAGAGAAAACATTGGTTTTAGTATTTGTTATTATAGTAGACATATTTAGAAAGGAAATATTTAAATTATAAAAATGTGATGCAAATAGTACATCCTGCAGAGCTTTATTATTATAATTTTATCTTGATATCTATTTGGTCAGAGCAAAACAAGTGGTGCTTTTTTAAAAAAATTGTTACGATTTTAATACTTTGTGAGAAGGTATATCAATTTTAGTATTTGTTATTATAGTAGACATATTGAAGTAAAACGTATTAAATTTACAGCATTGTAGAAAGAATATAAATATTTTTTTCAAGTATTTGAACATTGGTTTTTGCAATTTATTCATTTACTACCAAAAACGTCGTGGTACTTTTTGCATATAATTATTTTCTTGAATATTTGTGAGAAAACATTTTGATTTTAGTATTTGTTATTAAAGTAGACATATTTAAGAATAATATGTTAAAATTACAACGTTTTACAATGAATAGACATATTTTTTAAGTTATTTGAACATTGGTTTTTGCAATTTATTCATTTTCTAGTTTTGGTACTTTTTGCATATAATTATTATTTTCTTGAATATTTGTGAGTAAAGATCGATTTTAGTATTTGTTGTCATAGTAGATATATATATGAATAATATATATTCAATTTTCAACGTTTTAGAGTAATGAGGAATATTTAAAAAAAAATATTTAAACATGGTTTTTACAATTTACATCAAACACGTTTGGGTACTTTTTATAAATAATTGTTATATTCTGGAATATTTGTGAGAAAACATATTGATTTGAGTATTTGTTATTAAAGTAGATATATTTAAGAATAATATATTAAATTTACTACTTTCTAGAATGAATAGAAGTATTTTTAAAAATAATTTGAATAATGGTTTTTGCAATTTATTCATTTTCTACCCAAAAACGTCGTAGTGTTTTTTGCATTTAATTATTATTTTCTCAAATATTTGTGAGAAAACATTGATTTTAGTATTTGTTATTATAGTAGACATATTAAACTATAACTTATATATTTGTTATTATAGTAAATTTATTAAACTATAACAACAAACGAAAATATTTAAGAAAAAAAACCATACTACTTCATTTTATCAATTTATAACTAATTCTTAAAACTACATTCATTCATTGGATGTACTTTTTTCATAAAAAACTAATCATCTTAATAATTTCTAAGCAAACTCATCAAATTTAAAATTTGTCATCATAGTGGACACTTTAAAGAATAACAAATAGATAAAAGAAGAGTATAACATATCAAAATTGAAGCTTTGTAGGACAACTAGAACTATTTTTTAAAAAATTGAAACTTGTTCGAATAACTCATCATATATATTCATACATTTATTTACAAAATATCATATCTCAAATATTTGTGAGAAATCTTATCAATTTTAGTATTTGTTATTATAGTAGGCGAGAATATTAAAAAAAAAACTTTACTACTTTAGTTTATCAAATTGTAATTTTTTAAATTTTATCCATTCATCAGAGGTACTTTTTTTTATAAAAAACTGATTATCTTAAAAATTTCTAAGAAAACTCATCAATTTTAGTATTTGTCATCATAGTAGACACTCTAAAATATAAAATATCAAAATTGAAACTTTGTCAGACAACCAGAACCATTTTTGAAAAAATTGAAACTTTGCTTGAATAACTCATCATGTCTATTAATGCATTTTTTTTAGAAATTTTTTTTATCTCGAATATTTGTGGGAAAATATATCAATTTTAGTATTTGTTATCATAGTAGATATATCAAAGTATAACATTCAAATTGCAACATTCCACAACAAACGAAAATATTAAAAATAAAATTCTTTAGTTTACTTTAGTATACTTTAGAGTATATCAATTTGTAATTTTTTAAATTGTACCCATTCATCAGAGATACTTTTTTATAAAAACTAAATATCTTGAAACTTTCTAAGAAAACTCATCAATTTTAGTATTTGCATCATAAGGTACACAATGAAGTATAACATATCGTAATTGCAACCTCATAGGACAACCAAAACTATTTTTAAATTGAAACTTTGCTCGAAAAACTCATCATGTCTATTAATGCTTTTATTTAGAAAATATATATCTCAAATATTTCTTATCAATTTTAGTATTTGTTGTTATAGTAACCATACAAATTTTTTTAGTGTGGTGGCTCCACAAGGAAAATTTGCAGAAAAATTGGCAAAAGCTAGTCCATATAATTTTTTTTTAACTACAGTCACTGCTAATCGAGTTACACATGATGAACCACTCAGTGTTACTTTCACAGGTAATAAATAAATAAAATAATATTTTATAAATAAACTATTATTTATAATTTATTTTAGAATTGCTAGATAAAAGTCTTGGAGAGCTAGAATCATCAGTACAAATTAATTTCATGGTTGATCTGTCCTGGTTATTAGCTCATTACTATGTTTCTGGAAACAGGTATTTTGAAAATATTTAATGAGCTCTTCAGGATGTAAGTTCATGAATTATATTCTAGAGACACTCAACTTTTGATTCTGTATGGTGAAGAGACAGATGACTTAATTGATATAAATAAAAAGTCCAAAAATATACAAACAGTTCAAGTCAAGATGGGGAGTCCTTTTGGGAAACATCACACGTTAGTATAATATATATATAAAATAATATATATACATATATATATATATATATATATTTATTTATTTATTTATTTATTTACAATTTTTATTTATTATTTAGGAAAATGTCCTTGCTTGGTTACAAAGATGGTTCAATGCGAGTAGTGGTCTCAACAGCAAATTTGTATGAGGATGATTGGGAAAATAGAACTCAGGGGTAAGTATATATATATATATATATATATATATATATATATATATATATAGATGGTAAAGTCTTGGATTTGTAAATATTTTGTAGAGCTTCTAACAAAGAATCCAAAAAGTTATAAAAAACAAAAAAGTTTTTTAAAAAACCATTTCTTTATTTATTTACTGTCGACATTTTTAACTAGAGATTTTCCATCTTCAGGACATCTGTCAAGAAACATGATCTTGATAAGATTTAAGCAAACAATATGTTTAAGAAAAGCAGATGGTAGATTTTTTATATAAAATGAATAAAATTGTGAGAAAAAGTATTGTACAGAAATATGACAATATAATCAAAAGAAAAATGATAAAAATAAATGAATGGATTATATAACAAAATATTAAAAATGTTAAAAAATTAGATAATTTTAGAAAGTTTTAAGAAAAGCTTACTGAAAAAACAGAATTAATCACCTGTATGGTTGATTATACACTAACACTTTTTCACTAAAAAAGATTTTATCAAAGAAGTGATTTTATACACTTCTTTTCAGATAAAGAAATAAATTTTGTAATTCAAAATTTTTTTTAATTATGTCTTTTGAGTTTGTTATGTTATGTGAGATAAAAAATATTATTCCCTTAATGTTATGAGATGACTATTGGTAACAAACTGATTATTGAATGGATGGATTTTTTAAGACAAAAAACACTTGACCTAAAATCTGTGTGTACATATGTGCATGTTATTTCTATTAATTTTATATAAAAAATCTACCATCTTCCGCTTTTCTTAAACATATTGTTTGCCTAAATCTTATCAACATCATGTTTCTTGATAACATGATAAATATCATGTTTTCTAAACATGATAAATATCATGTTTTTTAAACATGATAATTAATATGAATTCTAATTCTATTTTAGCCTATGGGTGAGTCCCCGTTTGCCAGCAATCGAAACAGTATGGGACACCAGAGTTGGTGAAAGTGAAACCGGGTTTCGTGATGATTTACTTCGATATTTGATCTCATATAAAATTCCACAACTCCAAACGTGGATTGCCAGGATTAGGAAGACTGATTTTAGCTCTATAAAGTAAGTAGAAATAGTAAAATTTTCTATAAACTTTCATATTGTTTTTTAATATTCAAAATCTATTAATTGATTCAAAAGATATATTAATGTTTGGAAAAATGTACAAGTTGATGTAAAACTGAATTTCTACTTTTTTATTTTTTATCATTTCATATTTTTATTAATATCATATAGATCAGGGCTTATCAAACTTTTGTCCTTCATGCCCCTAGTTGTAATAGGGTCTTAAAAATATATTTTTAGAGGATTTATTTGGTAACAATATACATATATACAGATAAATATGAAAATATAGTTTTAGAATTTGTGTGTTAAAAACGCGGTATTATAAAATAATAAATACTTGACATTGAAAACTCTCGCAACCCCATTTGGGGTCGCGACCCATAGTTTAAAAAACCCTGATATAGATAATAAAATATAACATTTAAAATTTATAGCACAGTTCTACAAACTGCTCCAATTTGCTCCAATTTATTTTAAACTAGGTATAAGTGGCATTTTTCTAAGACAAGTTGCCTGACCTTTCCATTATACCTTGATAATCAATTTGATCAATAACTATTAACTGTGTATCAAGATTTTTACATGTCAATTTTTTAACACTTTTTTTTAACACACGCGTATTTACACCTACATTATCTCTAAAGTATGCCAAAATGTTCAGAATCTTTTAAAAAATAAGCAAAAATTTGTATATACTCTTTTTTTGTGAAGACTATTTTTGCAATTTTATCGTGTTTAGAAGGAAACTTTATTATTATTCTATATCTATATTATTATGTATATTTCATTTTCAGTGTTTTTCTTGTTGCCTCAATTCCTGGTTCTCATCGTGGTTTAGATGGCACTCGGTATGGTCATAAAAGATTGGCAGCATTGCTGTCAAGTCATGCGAATGCTGCAGCTACTTCTAAAGATTATGTTGTTGCCCAGAGTTCGAGTATTGGCAGCTTGGGACCAAATAAAGATGTAATGATTAATAAATAAATAAATATAAATAGATAATATTTATATAAATATATTTATTTTTAGTCTTGGGTAGGTGGTGAATTCTTAACAAGTACTACACGAACAAAACCTCGTGGAACAAGTGGAGGTATGTGTAGCCTTTCATGTATAGCCTGTTATGCATAACCCAACATTATCTTTAGAATTAGCAGAAAAGTGCCTTTTTCTAGATGCTTCAGCAAGATTATTGGAGCAGAGACCGTTGATCAAAATGATATATCCCTCATTAGCCAATGTTCGGGCAAGTCACGATGGTCTGATGGGTGGTGGATGTCTTCCTTATAATGTTAAAACGCATTCAAAACAGAATTGGCTTGTGTCAATATTACAGTAAGTGATAAAATAACTTTCTAATTTTAACCACATACTATCTAACTACCAGTGTAAATAATAGGGTTTATACAAAAACCGACATTTCAGAAAACTGGTTTTCGAATTTTAATTTTACTAAAAAACCGGTTTTAACTGGTTTTCGAATTTTATATAGAAAATAAATTTTTGCTCGAATATCCTGTAATTTATCCGCAAATTTAGTGTAATTTAGAGCAGTATTTGACTGAATTTATTTATTGTTCAATTTTATAGTTAGTAAACTAAATTATTTTAATTTTAATTAGTAGAACTAAAAAATAATAGTTTATCTTGATTAAATAACTTTGAAAATAATTATTTGTTATTCATGCATCATTTTCACATATAACAATGAAAATATTTTTATGATAGTGAAAGGAAAGTTTTCGAATAAATAAGAATAATACATTTTTAAATAAAAAACATTCATTAAATTAAAAAAAAAATTGAAAAATATTAGATACATGTTGATACATACTTGTAAATATCAATTTTAGTTTTAAAAACAATTAAGCTAAACCCAGGTATTTTCTGTTCCGAGCAATTTTAATTAATTAATTTTAATCATTCTAATTGCTGTTTTGTTTAATAAAATATGATTTCAAAAAGCTCTGAACGTCTATTGAATTGCTACTTAGACGTGTCCTTTGTTTACTCACAAAATTTCCAAAATAGAAAATACTCTCATACTTGCGACCAAAATATGCTTAATTGTTTTTAAAGCCTGATATAATAATTCTAAGTTTTTTGTTCTTCAATTTGTGGCTTCAAGGGTTTGAAACTTTTTTTTTTAAGTTTGAGTAGAGAAAGTTACTTCTTCAAGAAGAAGTCACACTGATTTAAATTAATATATACCCTGGTATAAAAATCGAAATTAATATATACAAAACCTTTCTGGAAACCATTGCTGACTGATAAGATATCAAATGCTATTGAACCGATATGATTACAAAGAATCAAAACGCTTTCATCTATCTTTATTTGGATATATTTGTTATTCTTCATTTATACAGTGAAAACTGACTTTTTTCGCTAAAAAAACGGTTTTCGAATTCTCCAGTAAATAACTCACTAATTTATCATCAACCATTTACCATTTGTCTATTTTCAGCCAGTTAACTCTCTAATTTTCTACCAACAACATACTATCCATCTTCCAATGTAAATAACTTACTAATTTATCATCAATCATTCACCATTTGTCTATTTTTAGCCAGTTAACTTTCTAATTTTCTACCAACCACATACTATTGATCTTCCAGTGTAAATCACTTACTAATTTATCATTTATTATTCACCATTTGTCTATTTTCAGCCAGTTAACTTTCTAATTTTCTACCAACAACATACTATCCATCTTCCAATGTACTCGTAAATAACTTTCTAATTTATCATTAATCATTCACCATTTGTCTATTTTCAGCCAGTTAACTTTCTAATTTTCTACCAACAACATACTATCCATCTTCCAATGTAAATAACTTACTAATTTATCATCAATCATTCACCATTTGTCTATTTTTAGCCAGTTAACTTTCTAATTTTCTACCAACCACATACTATTGATCTTCCAGTGTAAATCACTTACTAATTTATCATCTATTATTCACTATTTGTCTATTTTCAGCCAGTTAACATTCTAATTTTCTAATTTATTATTGATCATTCATCATTTGTCTTTTTTCAGCCAGTTAACTTTCTAATTTCCTACCAACCACATGCTATCTATCTTCCAGTGTAAATAACTTACTAATTTATCAACAATCATTTACCTTTTGTCTGTTTTCAGCCAGTTAACTTTCTAATTTTCTACCAACCACATACTTATCTATCCTTCAGTGTAAATAACTTTCTAATTTATAATCAATCATTCACCATTTGTCTATTTTTAGCCAGTTAACTTTCTAATTTTCTACCAACCACATACTATCCATCTTCCAATGTAAATAACTTACTAATTTATCACCAATCATTTACCATCTTTCTATTTTTAGCCAGTGGCGCGCAAAATCAAGGAACAGGACCAAAGCAATGCCGCACATAAAGTCTTACTGTCGTGTCAACATCAAGGATGACAAGATTTTAGGACTGCACTGGTTTTTGGTAACTTCTGCCAATTTATCAAAGGCTGCTTGGGGAGTTGTCAATAAGACCACAGGAGGATCCTTGTGCGGAGATCCGCCATTGAGGATTATGAGCTACGAAGCGGGGGTGCTATTTTTACCGCAATTTGTGGTAAGTAGAAAAGTAATTTTACACATAAAAATACAAAATCTTCAAGGGGGCGTCCATTAATCACGTGAAGGAGTTTTTAAGGATTCTTAGACCCCCACCCCCCTTGGTGATATTCAAAATTACCCCCCCTTCCCCATCAAACATAACGTGTATTTTTAGTTATGTGAAAAAACTGTAAATTTTTTTTTGAAAATGTTTGAAATGTTTAAAAAAAAATGTAAAAAAAATAAATACACGTGATATCTTGCTATACCCTTCCCTCCCCCACGTGATATTTCGTGATTTTTTGTCAAACCCCCCCTCCCCCTAAAAACCGCACGTGATTAATAGACGCCCCTTTGTCAGAGATTTTGACAAGTGCTAGAAATCAGGTTAATGTAACATGAATTTCTCCTTAAATTTTGCCCTGATGGCGTAGTTTCCTCGAAAGTAAGTTTAGATGATCCTGGAGACGGCTTTTGTAATTGTCTGAATGTGTTTATTGTGTTCATGTCGGAAACTTTGGGACATTCAAATTTTTTTAGAAATTTATTTTGGCATGTTTGATTTGGAGAAATGAGTGGCATGATGTGAAGAGATTTTTGTGCTGCCAAGTCAGGACAGGTGGTTAGGGCTCAGTTTCAAGGAGTATTCACTTTTGTTTTGTTAAGTAATTCTTTTTTTTGGTAAAATTCGTTGCATTTTCACCTATTTTCAAAGTTCAAAAACTTCGAGATATTCAATTTTTTTTAGAATTTTATTTTGGCATCTTTGGCATGTTTGATTTGGAGAAATGAGTGGTATGATGTGAAGTAATTTGTGCTGCCAAGTCAGGACAGGTGGATAGAACTCAGTTTCAAAGAGTATTTACATTTTTTTTATTAAGGGGGTTGTTCTTTTTTTTGTTATAAAACATGCAAGGTATTTGTTTTTGTTTTTCTCGAAATGTATTTATCATAAAGACATGCGGTTTTTTTAAACAAAAATTACAAAATCATAGAATATTAAGAAATTTTTTATTTTTTTTTTGTTTCGCCGTCATTTTTTAACCAGGGGGCGCCAAAGTGGGCATTGCAAAATCGATCTCGTTTGCGGTGCCACAGATAAATCCGTTGCGCATCGCCTGAAACAAAAAAAAAAACGAAACTACGTTGAAGAAGAAGTTTGAATCCAGTCCCCCTACCAAAATGAAAGAAAAAAGCAAGAAGGAAAAAATGGCAGCTATTTAAAAAAAAGTGTCCAAAAAGGCCTTTGTTTTGGGACAAGAAGGTTCGCAAATTTTTTTTGCGTAATGTTATCAAGTTGTTTGAGGTAGGGAGACTAGGTATTGCAGTGGTGAACAAATTAAAAAAAATGCAAGTCGATCCGACTTGTAGTTTTTTTTTAATTTGTGGCACCGCATTGAAAAAAGTCAATTTGAGAAAAACGTATTTAAAGTTTTTAATATAATGTACTAAATACACCATTTAATTTAATGTACGAAATACACCATGGTGTTCAAAGATGCTGACACATTAAAAAGGTCACGTGCATGAGGTATTATAATGAAAAAAAGGCAGCTGGCATACAATAGCTCGCGAAACGATAAAAAAACGCTTTCAGAGGATCATACGTATATATATATATATATCTACAACTTCGTCAAAAAAATAGATATTGAGATGATTTTTTTTTTAATAATTCTAAGGTTTTTACCTTTCATAATATCAAAAAATCTCAAAACCGAAACAAAAAAATATAAAAAAAGAACAACCCCCTTAAGTATTTCTTTTTATTTAAGTAAAATATGTTGCATTTTTACCCATTTTTAAAGTTTAAAAACTTTGGGACATTCAATTTTTTTAGAAATTTATTTTGGCACCTTTGGCATGTTTGATTTGGAGAAATGAGTGGTATGGATGTGAAGTAATTTGTCCTGCCAATTCAGGACAAGTGGATAGAACGAAGTTTCAAAAGGAGTATTTACATTCTTTTATTAAGTAATTCTTTTTTTAAGTAAAATATGTTGCATTTTTACCCATTTCCAAAGTTTAAAAACTTTGTGACATTCAATTTTTTTAGAAATTTATTTTGGCATCCAACCTGTGGAGCGCGTCTTCTTGCTAAAACGTTTTCACATTCACATTTTTTATTTCAAATAAAAAAAGAAATTTGAGAAAATATTCGGTAGTTTTTTTATAGCATTTAAAAAGAAAGGTATTTGGCGGAACTTATATGTCTATTTGAAATTGCATTGATTAGTTTGAAAATGGCGGCGGACTAAGCTCAGAGGTAGCATCTATGAGATAAATAAGCATAGCATGTCCGACTCACATGCCGGAGATTGTTGGTTCGATCCCTGACGCTTCCAAATGTAAAATATCAGAAATGTATAAGAATTTCAAATGTAAGATGTATGTAAAAAAAAAATGGTTAGAATTGTATAAGGTATTAGAATTATAAAAATTGAATTAGAATTGAAAATAAAAAAATGAAATAGTAGAAAAAAGTAAGAAGATAAGAAGGGAAGAATGAAGATAAGTTGAACTATGTAGAAGAATAGGATTTATGTGAAGAAGATAAGTTGAAAGAAAGTATATAGTATAAGAAAAATAGAATCTATATATAGATTGAATATGATATAAAAATTAGTATAGAATGTAAATAAATGTTGCAGGTGGCTAAATGCTCAGAGTAAGCGAAGCCAAATAAAAATTATTATTAAAAAAAGAAAGAAAAAAAATTGAACAAACGCTTTCCATGTGCCTAAGTAAAAATGTATGAGAAAGCTTTGTGTTAGGTTCGGACGACATGGCAAGAACTCTTGTGATTTTTTTTTAGAGTTTTGAAATATTTTCAGAAAATAACTGTTTTGTTATAGTAGTTTTTCTCTAGATGTATCTAGTTATCTATTACCTTTGCAGATTCAAAAAGACTTTCTACCTCTGCAAAACGATTCGTCTCTGGGACCAATCTTTCCGATGCCTTTTGATCTACCTTTAACTCCATACAATCCAGACGACACGCCATTCTTTATGGATTTGCTTTCAGGATAGTAGTATTATTTATTTATATATAATTATATAATATATATATATATATATATATATATTTGTGTGTGTGTCTATGATTTTAATTTTCTCAACTAAATAAATCTCCTTTTTCTTCAAAAAATTTATTTATAATTTATTGCATGTTACATTTCATCGATTATCCACTTCCTTAGGAACTATTGAAAGAAAACAAAAACTTTTTTGTTATTTTTACACTTTTTCAATTATTTAGAAAAGCAAAGTATTACCTATTTCTAAAACTAATGAGGAAATTTTGCTATAAAATTATAATGTTAATAATATTAATTGTAATGTTATGGCTAGGTTATGGGTCTATCTTCATATGAATTGGTAGTGCGAATTGGCTGTGCGATCAGATGTTTTACAATTAAAACCGAGTGTTATCAATGAGACTTCTCAGAAAGATGCACCTGTGCAAATTTATAACTTTTTGATAGTTTGTTACTACTAATTTATACGAAGATAGCCCCCTAATATAGCGTTTTCAAAATATTTCTGTTCTATCAGAAAATTTGCTCCTATATTTCTGTTTTCTGCTTTATTTACTTCTAGGACTCAAATTATTAACAATTATAAATTTTCAAGTTTAAAACAGAAAACAAATAATTTTTTTATTAATTTTTTTCTAACGTTTTTGAAGAATTAGATGAATTTTAGAAAATCAAGGAGACATTTAGTTCAGAAAAATAAAATAAATATTATTTACAAGTACAAAAACTGTTTTGTTATATTTATACACTTTTTCAATTATTTTAGAAAAGCAAAGTATTAACTATTTCTAAAACTAATGAGGAAATTTTCCTATAAAATTATAATGTTATGGCATTGCTAGGTTACGGGTCTATCTTCATATGAATTGGTAGTAACAAACTATATATTTGCTGTGCGATCAGATGTTTTACAAATAAAAAACCTAGTGTTATCAATGAGACTTCTCAGAAAGATGCACCTGTGCATATTTATAGCTTTTTGATAGGATGTCAAATATCTTGGTGTGACTCTGGACCATAGACTCAGCTTCACAAAACATATTAATACAAAAATTGGACAGGCTTACGGGATGTTAAATCTACTGAGACCTTTCCTTGAGCCACAACAGCCCGCTTAGCGTGAAGAACAAGCGGACACTTTACTTGCGCCGCTCCAGCATGGAACGCGACGACTAAGACCAACTTACAGAAACTACAGACATTACAAAATAAGACACTACGACTAGTACTTAACAAAATAAGGGACCCACTGACAAGACACTACTACTCTTCAAAATACATACACAAACAGACTGACGTACCGACAATACTCGACTATATAAAAAAGCTCACCGGAAATTTTTATCTAAAATGCTGGGATCATCCTAATTCTAACATCGCGGGTCTCGGGCAGTTTACGAGGGACGTAATATGGTATGGCAATCACGCCATGTCAAACTATATACTGATCAACCCATAGCGGCTAAATAAGGAGCATATTATTTATGTGACTCCTCTCTCTTAAGAGGAGATAACAAAACATATAATTTTTAATATATAAAGAATCTGTATTTTTTTTTTGGGAGAAAGTTTATATCTCTCTTTTTTAGTACACACATACAATCATATTGTAAACTATATTCATCATATATATTAAAAACATATATGTCATATAAAATACCCACGGGTAAAAAAGTATGTACAAAAGGCAACACTGAAAAATGTATTTTAAATATTGAAATAAATACTTTTTGTCTGTCTGTCCGTTTCGTCGCACTCGAGTTGCAACACTCGGGTGTCTAAGAGTCCCAGTGACCAGCTTTAATGTCAAGTGAGAATCAATCACTTCTGTCAGGCCTCACTTTAGCATCATGCCTCGAGGTCCGCTGGAGCAGAACCTGATTCGGTCGTCTCATCTTGATTTTGTTGGATCGCGGACTCGGGAGATAACGGTATGGTGCCTCTATCTTCTCCCGTTGTCTGCGGCTATTGGGGGGCACTGACAGCTGGGGGCTGTCAGTTTTGTGTGTTGTGCGTTGCATGTTGCATGTTGCGTGTGGGCGAGTGAGAAGCGTTCGCGTTTGGAAAACCGGATTTCAAATTCTCTGTCATCGCAGAGTGAATCCTCTCCTTCGTGGCCGACACCTTATCGTGGTGAGGGGTCCAGTTGGCCGATAACTGTCCAATTGGCCGATAACTGTCCAATTGCCAAGAGCAGCCGTCTACTTCAGCACTAGTTACACTTCAAGGTATAAAAATGAATTAGTTGTGTGGGTCACATGAAAATACATGTTATTAAATTCAATTGATTTAATAAATATAATATTTACTTGTTCGAACTGCATCTCATTTTTGAAAGTTTACTAAATATGCGACAGATGTCCCAAACATTTTTCTCCCAAATTTTTTTCCAAAATTTTTGGGCCAAAATTTTTTTGACCGAATTTTTTTTGGGCCAAAATTTTTTTGACCCAATTTTATCTGGGCCAAAATTTTTTTGACCAAAATTTTTTGTACCAAAATTTTGGCAAAAAATTTTTCCACCAAAATTTTTTTTCCCAAAATTTTTTTGGGCCAAAATTTTTTCAAAATTTTTTTGACCAAAAAATTTTTTACAAAAATTTTTTTGACCAAAATTTTTTTGACCAAAATTTTTTTTTGACCACATTTTTTTGCGTTAAATATAAGTTTATGTATTTTAAGATAGTTTTACATGATTAAATAAATTGTATAGAAATATGTATGTATAAACTAATATAAATGAAATGAACAAATCTTAAAAACAAAACTTGGTAAATTATTTATTGTAATTTATACTACTGAATTACAAAAATATTTAATTTAATCAAAAACTAAATAATTATAATATTTAATAAATTAATATATGTATTAATGTATTTTACTTTGTGCCTGCCTATGATTAATAAATAATTATTGGACATTAACTTATTTTCATTTCAAATACTTGATGATTAATATTGTGTTATTTTTTACAGTTTAATCAATTTAAGTTTTTTTATTTAATTTACAAATATAATTTTCAGATTCAGTAAAATATGTTTGAAAAAATCTGGGGATAGTAATCCATGGATTAGCTTGATAGCATATTCAAGTAAAATATGTTTAAAAAAATCGTGAATATGGTTTTAACCTGATATCATATTCAAATTGGGTAAAATAGGTTTAAAAAATTCGTGGATAGTTATCCATGGAAAAACATGATTTCATATTCAAGTAAAATATGTTTTAAAAAATCCGTGGATAATTATCCATGGATAGTTATTCACCCCCAAGGTTAGGTGTTCCAGGTAACCATCTTACTCAGGTTATGCAAGTTCAGCCGTAAGGTTAAGCTAGTTTTTTTTATCAATTTATCACACCTAGTTATTAAATATTAATCCTAAAGTAAATAAAACTGAAAGAAGTGTAAATGTTCATTTAAAATACATTGAAAGAATTAAGTAAAATACTTAGTAGGTTTCTGGAGATTTGAAGTCGAAATCTAAAACAAGAACGACTGCCTTCGCAACCGAAGCCATTTAACGATCTCGTCTAATTCACCGCTGGTTAAAAGTTAGTTGAATTCGGTTCATGTGTTAACAATTACTTCACATACCTCCCACGCCCTTTAACTTGTCGAATAAAAAACTCCTTCGGATTCGAACCAGCATCCTTCGGATTAGAGTCTAATTGGCGCTCTAACCGATTCGGCCACGGCGACAAAGATTTTCGGACGGCTAATACTGGAAGGACATTTTTCGAGTCCATCCGACGATCGACCATCATGATTCAAGTCACGGTCACAGGGGGA